ACATTTTTATTCAGTGCACTCTGGTCAAGCAAATGAAGCTCTTAAAATACAATTATTACTGTCCAAAAATTGGGAAGGGGACCCTCAGAAATTTCTAAAAGTGCCAGAAATGTTCTAACGGTTGGTAAGTCCCTGATTGTTGCACTCAATATTCCACTCAAGTGTGGTAGGGGTTAAAAATAACAATGCATTATTCAGACCAGTCAAATGCATGAATACATGAATAAGTTGTAAAAAGCTCTCCCATCTGGTATTAGAAGCGAGAGCGTGGAAAATGTGCCTTTTTAATGTGCTCTTCCTGCTGTAATCTACCTTATCTCACTTCAACACTACATCCTCCCCCTTCGGAAGTGTGCAGGACGGCAGGGAGAGAGAGAGAGACTGAGGAGGAGAGCGAGGGAAACAGATTTGTATAAGAAGTATACTCATTCTCCAGGGGATAAGCAGCAGAATGAAGCTCTGGTGATGGCATTGATCATATTCTCGCCGACATCTGGGTATTTTTTTGTGAGCCTATATAGAGTAGCTGTGTGGTAGTGTTGGTATAAGACAAGCTACAAGTGATATACCAGATTTGAGCCTGATGTAACCCAACATGGGGGTCCAAAAGTTTGAAACCACATTAATAGCTTAGGATTTAAAATCAAATGGTTTTCAATTTGAAATGACTACTTGTTTGGGTCAAAGCATCACATTTACAGAGCGGGTTTAGGCTTTATTGCCCTGTGCAGACCCCCATAGACCCCAATACTATTTACCAGAACCATGCAGCATCATTTTAGCAAAATTTTTCAGATGAGAAGATCACACTGGTTTTTAGCTGAATGAGTTTTTCAGAGAAAAAAAAAAAAAACATCTCTATGATGGATGTTGCTAGATCACAGAGTATCTGCTTCCAGAATTCATTTAGGGAACTCCATTATTGAAGGAGAGTGTCGATCTTGCTATAATTGTGTGCCGGTGGACAGGCCCAGACTGTGTAGCAGACGTAACCCAAGCTAAATTTAGTCTGAGAGCGAGGAACTGCAGGGGTTTTTCACATATGGAGCAAGGAAGCCAAGAAGCCACTGATGAGTGTGAATTGAGTCTCCTGTCACGGAGACAGGTGAATGTGTTGTGGCGAGCATCTACACGCACGAGCACGGGGGCCGACGTAGGGGTCGAACAGAGTGAGTGAAAAACTCATTTGCACGAGGCAGGGCTGGCTACATGCCATCATCGGCGGCTGCCGTGCTCAGTGGCCGTGGAGGTGTCACCAGTGCCTGAATAACGAGCCATCACAGGGAACAATCATCCAAACTGGACATTAGTTTCAAATCATGTCTCTAATAAGGGAAACAAAAGTGCAATCACGCACACCTAAACCATTAACAAATCCTTAAAGGGGTCATATGATGCGATTTAAATTTTCCCCTTCTCTTTGGAGTGTTACAAGCTCTTGGTGCATAAAGAAGATCTGTAAAGTTGCAAAGACTAAAGTCTCAAATCCAAA